AACTTGGTCTTGTTGTCAGGGTGACTTAGTAGAACGCACTTAGTCCGAAGTCGTCTGCCATAGTAGTTGTGATGATTCGTTTGAGAATGTACCAAGTCCACTGTCTGATGCTGGCTGTAATAGTACCAGTTTTGAATGAATAAATATGATTTAACCACTTGCAGGAGATGTACTAGTCTTACTATTTTTTATTAGTATTTATGTGAAATATCAATATGAAGAAATCTTCAACGAAAGGCTTATTCATAACACTTAAGGCGATAAGCTGTTGTCAAAGGAGCAGTTACAGTATCCTATACTTTGTAAAACTTTCTGCCCCAATTCATCCAAAATTGAAATATTCACATGTTCTGCACCTTTTCTATAAAATTTGGCCCCAATTCGTTGACTTCATGGTCTTTGTAAACTATACAAAGCTTAGCAAAAAAGCAATTTATTCGTGGCCTTCAACATGTTGGACTTGCTATGCTCAATCCTTGCTTATTTCAATCTAGGCAATACACAAATATTAAGTACCACCTGAAAATGGGAGAGATACTCTTGTACTATATCTGAATAGGAAGGCATTCACCTCCTGAGACTGTGAATCTGTTTTATTAAATATTCCAATTTGTCCTGACAAAAATTATAATAAAATATTTTTTTGCCACCTGCCGATAGAAAGAAGCCTCCGAATAAGCTTCTGAGGTCTCTTTACTTAGGTCAGTTAAGTTGCAAACTTAGCACTTAACCATTGTAAGAGCACGATTAAGATTGGCATAACCTTCAGTTGAGTTGGCCTATGCCTCCCCTCTTTAAATGACGTAAATATTAATGAGGAAATAATAAGTCCGAAACTGACCTCTCGAAGAGAAGTACGTCCACGTTACTTTCATTCTAGGCTCTACAGACCATCCACTAACCTCAGAAGTATTTGATCACATATTAAAACCATTATCTTGGCAGTTAAAGACTTCAGTATCACAGGAATGGGCATCTAAAGGCGACCGTAGATTTGTCGCAACCGAACAGGACGAAAGACTGTTTTACATTGAAGATGCTTTAGGTGGCGTCTATTGCAGAATGATAACGATTCAATATCATTTCAAAAGAACGACTTGATATTTTCTCGAGACGACTATGCTGGCCACAATAAGGGCTCAAAGAATATTGTTACGCTACAAGATAAAATGGAGTAAGGAGATTTCGCTAAGCTAATTAAGTTTACAATGTAAAAATAGGGTTTGATAAAGTAATATGCCATAAGTTAGCTTTAGTTCTTACAGGTATGAAGACCTAGATGGTGTGGCCTTCGGTATAATCGCAGTCTCTTTTCTATGTATAGGTGCGATTGACCTCGTTTTTGCAACTTGTTGAATGAACTTTGTCTGAAGTCCTCTGCTATAGTAGGCATCATAATTCCTAGCGTCAGAAAGGGGACTTAGTAGATTTTCAGGACTTTCGCCGACGACGTAGTCGGCATCATCATCGGCCATTTTCAGCAGCAAGCTACAACTCGTCAAAGAGACTGGTTCATCTATCCACTCCCTACCACAATTTCTGACTTGTTTACATTCTACTCCTCAAAAGGTGTGTCCTGTTTGGCAAGGTTAGTGTGGCGTCATCACACATATTGTTCCCATTGTACCTCTCTTTTTCTATAAGAAACGGATCTATATGACATTAAGGGAGATCCGGATAGTAGGCCCGAGTCGGATTTGCCGATCGAAAAAGAAGAGCGTAAGGTGAACAGCAGGTGTGATGACGCCACACTAAACTTGCCAAAGAGAACACATCTTTTGAGGAGTGGAATGTAAGCAGTCAAAAGTTGTGAAAGAGTGAGAGTGTGATAAGAGGGCAAGGACAGAAAGAGGAGTGATAGTGTAACCGTTTCGGCAGATAGTCGGTCGAAGGATTGACTTTACTTGTCTCTTTGACGAGTTGCAGCTTGGTGCTGAGAATGACAAGATTTACTGATCATGCCGACCACAATGCCCATGAAACTTCACGAAGTGTACCAAGTCCACTGTCTGACGCTGGCAGTATGATAAACACTATAGCAGAAGACTCCGGACAAGATAAGTTTGACTATGTTGCCCTGACAACACGAACAAGTAGCGAAAACGAGGCCAACTTACTACTTTAGTTGTTATGTAAGTAGGGTTTCGAGACTACCAGA